TGAAGAAAAACTAACAGGCAACAGCTTGTAATCTTATGTCTCATAGTCAAGATAAGCCATGTCTGGGCAGAAATATCCCCGTCTGCAATTTTCTGAAGAGTGGTTGGCACAGTTTGTTGGTATAAGTCGAGTGTGGCTCCCCAAATATATGGGTTCCCAGGGTTAGGTAAACCATAGCTGTCTGGGCCAAGGCTAGAGTTGAACAGTTGTTGTCATCTATTTTACCCTTGAAAGATACAGACGATATGAACTTGCTGTGGGCAAAAGAGTTTTTTAAGATGCAAGTGAAGTACGCGATAAGATAGCGAAGTCTGCCATGAAAACAGAAGATGAAAGTAAAATATGGTAGGTAAACCTCTTGTCGATAGCTAACTGATTGAAAGAACAGACAAGAGGACTCGTTGCTAATCCTATGGCTGTACCTGACCATAAGGTGTGTGTTACCGTCCTCCCACATGTGAGGAAGCATAAACATGTCCAGGGTAGAGCGTGATCCATGGGTCCCCTTGAACTCCTGTGTGCAGAGAAAGATAACACAAGAGCTGACAGTATCGTCTTCAATTGTACAGTTGTCTAAACCACCTATAAACACTAAGTTGAGAAGACTGTCTCTATACCAGCTATGTGAAAACAAGAGTAAGGAGTCATTATAGTAATTACCTTCGCCAAGAAGGTTATGTTTTCAGAGGCGTTCGTGTATGTGTGTGTGTGTGTGTGTGTGTGTAAACACGATAACTTGAGAAGGCTTAAATGGACTGACTTGATATTTGGTAGTTGGGTAGGTCTTGATGAGACCTCAAAATGATTAGATTTTGGGCCCCCTGGCGGCTTGTCATGGTACTGCAGCAGAACTTCCGGTTTTGATATCTCATGATACAGACAAGCTAGGGTAACCAAATTTGGATGGTAGATAGCTCTTGTGCTGGGGATAAAGTGACATGAGTTTGAGCCCCCTAGTTGCTTGCTTTAGAACTGCAGGGGGATTTAAAGGACAAATGTTTAAAAGAGGATAACTCAAGAACCGATTGATGGATCATCGTGAATTTTGGTATGTAGGTAGCTTAAGTGATGCTTGACATAATGAGATTACAATTATGCAAATATGAATGTAATTTGCATAATTAATGAGGAAATTCTCTAAATCAGCTGCATTCCATTATTGGAAGTCCAAGCTTGTAACATATGTTATTAAGAACGAGAGAAACACAGGCAGATATCGATTATGCAAATGAAGACTTAATTTGCATAATTAATGAGAAAATGTTATAATTGCATGGTGGTAACTGCCTGGAATTTCATACTTGGGGTGTTTGAAAGTTAAGTGAAGGTGAGCATAATTGAACATAACTTACTCAAATAAGGACCACATTTGCATAATTTATGAGGAAATGCTATGATGGCATTCTTTGTTAAGATAAGACTGTCTTTTGGTGTAGAATATGATCAACAGATATAATTCATGCAATTGAGGATCCTATTTGCATAATCAGGGGGATTAATATATAATTTCTTATTCATAAAGGCTAACTTCATTTGGCGAAGGTATGAGATCGTGGAACTCTAGTTTATACTTCAAACGCAAGGATAATCAGTGTCGTATTTTCCAAGAAAAATTTATCGCAGACCCTTGTGGTATATTTTGTGGACCAGCCCTTAAAAGTTGGATTTATTCACCCAAGTGTCTCTGTGGGGTAGCGTTTTACCTTAGAGCCAAGCTGAGGGGCAAAGATGCATACCAGACTTTAATATAACGGAGATTAGCATGCCATTCTCTCGCTCCAGCCCTAAGCTTAGTGAGCAAGTGGTAGGAGAAACGTCGTAGTAAATCGTTTCCATGTTACCCTCTCGTATAAGTGTGGCTTGCTCTACGGCGACACAAAAGTATTAAGGCGTGAATACTTGGGGGAAACTGTCGATTACGCCTGACCAATTATCTTTTATAACAACGCAATCTTGGAACTTGAAGTCCTTTGACAAGGAAAATAAATATGTTTGGTTTAAGCGAGCCATTGTTGTTGAGATGCTTACCACATACATGTTTCTTGAGCCAGGTATATCTTTCTGCCTTGTACGGCTTTTAGCTTTATGTTTGTTACTGTTTTGTCAGAAAAAAATGTTGTGATAGGGTGTTTGTGACTTGGAAAGACTGGGGTTGAGAGTAACAGTTTAAACACAAACTTTGTCCCAAGGCATGCATGGCTCATTAACTGGGGTTAGCCATTGTGTGTATTACTATTAGGCTCTGACCTTCCCGGCCGGCACAATAGACTGTACGACTCGGTCCGCAAACACGCGTCTAATTAATGATCCTACAGAACGTCGGCGGTCTCGATAAGAAGGCCGGGTCGTGACGTAAACACCCTTTGTTACGCTCGGTTGCCATCCGCCTGGAAATTGGTTGCTATAATTTGGGAGCGAACTTTGTTTTCTGCGGTTGTTCAACCTTAAGAGATTTCATGTCATTAGCAGGTGATGGAATGGTCTTTCCCACCTGGATGTGGCTTTTTTTTCCTTTATTCATACTAATATTCATATAGTCTCAAGTGATGCTTGATAGGTGAGCAGATGAGTGGGACAACATTGCTACACTGTTACACCGATACAGGTACATGTACATGGAGACATGGACATTAACATCAAGTCCAAAACTAAGTTAACTTAACAAGTCTTGAAAAAGTTCTTAAAGCTCCGTGGGATTACTTCATTCCTACATGTGATAACTACATTTGTGGCTTACGCAATCAGGAACTACGACTAAAAATGTTATCGTCATGATGTTTTCTCTCATGTGTACACATACACATTGTCTTAGGGTGGCTGCTTTCTATTCTAACCACCCCTGTCTCCCAATGGTGTAGCCCAAAAGTTGTGGCCTGTAGCCCAGGGAGGATACCATATCAGTAGTGCAGCCATGCTTCAAATTCCTGATAGGGAAAATTGAAGGGAACTGTTGATTGCTATGGTTCCAGTTCGCTTCAGAAATGGAGCAGAGATTTTTTTTCGCTGGGTTAATTGGAAGTGAATTGAAACAGCGAGAAGGAATGTCAATTGACCAGCTTCTTTCCATCTGGACAAATCATCTGACCGAGGAGATAGTTTAAGTAGTTTAAAGAGGTGGAAAAAATGTGCTTTTTGTTTTCTTGTTGTGATCTATGAATTCGGTTGCATCAACAAAAACTTAACTTAAAATAAAGTTAAAACATTTTGAATCAAGAACAAAATAGGTGTTTCAGTTACATTTATAAAAAGTACATTGATTACAAATTCGTGTGACCAATTATAATTAATTATATCATTTCTAAGAGTTCTGACTGTGCTATGATAAGATTTATAAAAGTGCTTTAGACTATATATGTTCGAGAAATATCATATACGCCCATACTTCTCCGCTAACAAACACTTGAGGTCCAAAAAAAGACAGAAGTACCAATTTGCTTGCACAAAATATGTAGTATTGGCAGAAGTGTGTGTGTGGATGGGGAGGTGTTTGTTGTGGGGCACTTGACATGGTTTCAGCCTGGCCAGCTAAATCGATTCCACAGCCAACAATGCCACTTTGTTGAACCTTCTTATTTTATGGATCAACTCTTTACAATTATTGATTTTGATGTTAGGGACTCTGACGATTTTTTTCTTTGTGCACGACAAGGAATACAAGAGGCACTTAGTTTATCAAATGGCTTTCAGAAATGCATCTTTTTATAATTATGTAGGTTTTATTTATGTTACTATAGGAGAGTCGTAAGGTTCTTTGTTACAGTGTTTGATAACAGGATATAGGAGTACAAGTGTTATGTACGAGAGGCCTGCTTTTCCAAAATGGAGGAGGGAGGGGAAAATGATGTCATTTGTTTACTGTTGGTATTTTTGTGCGAATCTTCCACATTTGCCGATGTTTGTGTGCCGTGGGGGCCGGTGTGTTTACCCACACATGGCTGTGTTCGGCCATTTTTCTCCGGCCGGGTGACACAAGTGGCCATCATGGGCATTTGGCACGTGGATGCCAGGCAGTCTGAACACACAGGGAGGGGGGGACTGCAAGCACAACTCGAAAAACATGGCATATTTTCACCCCCGTGCGAATGCGCGATTTACTTAAGCACCCCAGTGCAAAGGAAAACATGGTAGTGGTGGTTTGGGCGCAGGTTGTTTACTGAGAAACCGCTCTTGAGTAGCATGAGGGGGAGAAAAGACAATATGGTATTTTCAGTCGTGTGTGGTTTTTATGTCTGCCATTTATATCTGCTGCAAATGAGCCATATGGCTCAAACTTAAATGTACAACAAAACTAAGAAGAAATAGTTTTTAATGTATATTTTTACTGATATTTTTATCAGCTAGCTACTCTTTGCCCTTTCACCCTATAACCTTTGAAAATGCACCTGCTTGGTTGATGTGTTATTTCTGAATTTTATGACTAGATATCTTTAACATTTACTGTCATATTAAGTTTCATACATATTTTGCGACCTTAATAAATATTGACATGTTTTTCTTAATGCATTTGTTTTCTTTTTTCTTTATCACAGGACCACCTCGACTTTCAGAACGAGTTATCACGCACCAAACTGTACGATTAGGACGGAATATCAAACTGCCGTGCCCGGTGGAGGGCGACCCCCCTCCCCTCACCATGTGGACAAAAGACCTGAAAACGATACACAGTGGCTGGACGAGATTTAAAGTTCTACGCCAGGGACTGAAGATAAAAAACGCGGAGGCGCACGATGCCGGACATTACACGTGTAAAGCCACCAACGGCTTCGGCAGCATCAACGTCAACTACTCTCTCAACGTCATAGGTGAGTGAACTCAACAAATGTTTCCTGTCAGAAAGTAGCTTAGTCATAAGGCTGTCGGAATATCAGTTCAGATGATTTGTTCTTGAACTGAATTATTGAAATGAGCCTGCCAGCAATCCTTGCAAGGTCTTGGAATAGTGTAACATCTTACAACAGCCAAGGATGTCTCGAATTCTTCCTGATAAATTTCAAGTCAGGGGTTGTGTTGGATATGGCTGACAGTGACATAGGATGTGGACTAGAGAGAGAGACCCTCTAGCTTTGGGGGGGGAGTGGGGTTGTGCTGCTGCACATTTCTTCACACTGACACGACAAATTCACAACATAATTAGAATTTCACACAAGTTGCCCAGCTCAGTCATGTCAGTGCCTGGGTGATTTACTCCCGACCCCTGACCTGTCAGATTGGGGTCACCAATCCCATGAAACTTATCCCCTCAAATATGGTGGGCTTCAAACAGGGCGTGTAGTCATCCCCTCCCAAAAATACAGCCCCGAGCAGATCGGGTGTTGGTCCAGCAACCTGGTCGTCCTGGTAACCACGTTAAAGACTGTCAGCTGCCACAGGCTGATCCCAGGGCCTGTCATCGAGTCTCACCGGGCTGCCAAAAGTGGGCACGGGACAAAACTGTAGAGGAGTGTGGTGGTAGTAGTAGACAAGGGGAGGCGCTGGCTTGGTAACCACGTTAAAGACTGTCAGCTGCCACGGCCTGATCCCAGGGCCTGTCATCGAGTCTCACCGGGCTGCCAAAAGTGGGCACAGGACAAAACTAGAGGAGTGTGGTGGTAGTAGTAGACAAGGGGAGGCGCTGGCATCCCGAAATTTGTGCCCGGGATTAGGATTCACAGCGGGGAAGATGTGCAGCGGTGGATTTCCTGGGTGGGATAACGTAGGAGGTGCCCATACAGTGTACGTAAGACAGGGATGCCCACAGGGCAGTTATCTGCGACGAGAAGTGAGATAATATTTAGATGATATAATCGTGGGATGTCATATCGTATCGGAGCGTGATGGATGGCACGGCAGAGGGAACAGCTGATACATACAGTGTACATAACATTCAGTACACCACAGGTCAATCATAGGAGAAGCATGACAGGCAACAGACATATTAAGAAATGTAGAAATCTTTAGGTAAAAAGAGTAAAAATCTTTGGTAAAAAGAGTAAAAAATTTTGGTAAAAAGATTGATTTGTGTGATTATGTAAAACATGAATGGATGACAGCTAGGACATAGACATATCAAGAAATGAAGCATTAGTCAGATCTATGTAGAATAGAACAATCAAAGCATTCAGAACACTATTGATCATTGAGAGGGTATATATAGTGAGTCAGATTGTAGGAGTGACTGAATTACAAAACATTCAGAACACTACAGGTCATTCATAGAGTCAAGACAGGCAACAAACACATCAAGAAATAAAGGAACTACCAAATCTATGTAGAACATCTTTGGTAGGTATTGACGATTGACCAATGTGAGTCAGATTGTAGACGTGACAGAATTATTTATTCAGGTCTATTTATTATTTGTATTGACAACATACCAAGATGTTAGTACATACAAAGATACAAGAAAACATTCAGGAAATCATATTATGCTCAAAACATCCTCCAAAAACAGGTCAATTTCTGCAATGTTTAACTTAGGGCTGTGGCTAGGATGTGAGATGCAGCAACCGACCATATGAAGAAGACCCTGTGCTCAGTGGATGCCGACACAGCGATTTGCGGTTGGCACAGAACTCCAGAGCGACCATATGAAGAAGACCCTGTGCTCTATGGATGCTGTTGTTGGACAGTTTTATGACCTCTTCACTCCAGTGTGAATTTCCCGGCCCATTGTCTCCCTGCTGTTTACTGTCAACATGTCGTTTTCCAGAGGCTGATCATGCCCCTACAGATACGGCCCTCTCCCGCCATTGTGAGACAGCTGTAAATCGTCCACAGACTGTTTATTAGTATATTACTCTCCTGGTTTCTGAAAAACAGGCAGTCTAGAGACAGGTGTCCTAAACACACAGAACTATCTTAGCCAATCAGCTAAGAGTGCAGGTAAACAGGTTAGCTATTAGGTGATTCCTTCTAGTAATCTAAAGCATAAGATGGTTTACTGATGAATTCCTATAGCAACTTTACCACAGCTGTATGTAGAAACCAGATTATACTTAGCAGGTTTTGTTCTGCAAATGATTTATACTCAGACTGGTAAAGTGCAATAGCTGTTTTATCTTCAGTCAGAAGCCTTGAGGGTATGACATTCTAGAAGTGCTTGTAGTTACTTTTTGTTGCTACGAACAGGTGCAGGTTTTGGGGAAACGGTGGCTGCTTCCAAATTCTTGTCCTTCCTTTGCGGATGATTGGCCTATCACAGAATCACTCAGTGGCAATCAGTGGCTGTTTCCTAACTCTGGTTTACGCCTTGTAGACTGATTTGGTAGACGGTTATCACAGCTATATACTTGAGTATGAGCCTAGTCATACCGGATGGAGCACATTCTCTGATTTGGTAGACGGTTATCACGGCTATATACTTGAGTATGGGCCTAGTCATACCGGATGGGGCACATTCTTGTGGGTGGTAGTACCGGGGTCTGTATGTGTTGGGCTCCCTCAAGAGATTCATACATACAACATGTTAAAATGGCAACTTAAAGAATAAAAAAAACGAATACAGTCCATAATGCTGAGAGGTATGGCGCATGGTGCTTTGAAGAGTATTGATGCTGTGTTCTACTTACGATCACGGCAACGTTAGAATGTACAGAAAAGATTAACCCGTTGTGTACGTGTGTGTACGCTTGTGATTTTGCCCCATAATGCCATGAGATGGGCCCCCTGCGACAGGCCGTCCACAGCTCTTTGATGTGCGGTAGTATTGCAGGCAGAATCCAAATTGAGGGATAAATAACACTTGCTCCTTTAGGGGCAAGACAGGATCTGTTTGGCCGTTGGCTGTGGGCCAGGTTGGCTGAGCTGGCCACTCTTGTCCTACCTCATTGTCTATATGCCCCTGGGCTGGCTAGGCTAGCACATGTCTCTGTTACACTGGCTCTTGTCCTGCCTCATTGTCTATAAATCTGACATAGTGTATGGTGAACACATGTCTCTGTTGGCAGTAGGTGTTGTAGAGAAGCTAAGATTACCCCTGAAACGTTTTCTACGGGTAGTAAGGAGTATACTTGTGTTCAGTGTAGTGCAGAAGTAAATGTCTCGAGAGGAAAATTGTGCAGCTGTAGTACAGTCACTGTTAATTGCTCTAGCCATTTTCCGTTTCATAAAGGACAGCCTGTTGATGGTACAGGATTCAATCAGTCACTGTTAATTGCTCTACCCATTATATAAATCATAAAGGTCAGGATGTTGATGAACACATCCTTTCACAAAGTGCCTGTGAACCCGAAAGGGGTTCCTCTCAACTTCCGATGTTTATTTGTTTGAAGAAGCTCCGTCTAACGTTTGTATGGGGGTCAAAATCCCCTGGAACAACCTCGGGTTCCTTTACCTGTCCAGAGAGAGGTATATAGACTGCAGGAGAAAGCACCAATGGAGCCACATCTTGGTTCGCGGGGACGTTTGTGTGTTTGTTTTGGACCGGAGTCCCTTTCCCTGTAATCCGCTGCTGTCTGCGGCTTGCACATTGTTTACTCATACTTATTGATGAGTTGTTGAAGTGGAACCGGTATCTCTTGGCAGCAACTCACGGATTTATGTTGTGGAAATACTGGGGATTATTGATTGTTTGTTGAAGTGTTTGGTCTACTTCAGACATGGAGTATAGATAAAAGATGTACAGGGGAGCAGAGGTTTGTGTCTACAGGGCTTCTGCACTTGTGTTGGTAATATTTATGGAGTGGGAGTAAGATGTACAGGGTAGCAGAGGTTTGTGTCTACAGGGCTTCTTTAGGAGTGGTGTTTATATCTATGCAAAGCAAATAATACATTCTAGTCTACCAGAAAACATGAGTCTTATGCAAAGAGTATATGTCAGTAAATGTCTTTCTGGTGTGCACAATACTATTATTGCAGATATTCGCATAATTTAAGATGAATATCATCGTCTGTCGTCGTTTTGCTGGTGCGTACAATTCTATTATTGCCGATTTTTTCGCATAATTTAAGATGAATATCAGTAACGTCGTAAAAGTGCATCAAACGGCTTCCTTGTGCTCAGGAGTATGCCTCACACTTTGATCTGAACAGAACCGGCGTCATTAATACCTTTATTCAAGATACACCTGTAACCACCTGAATTCAGTTAGTTTCCCAGTGATTAGGCGTCATTAATCCCTTTATTCAAGCTGCTACGGTAACTTCTCCGGCTTTGGAATGATTAACTCGATAGCGTCCGCGTTGCCATGCCGACAAGCTGCTAAGCACCTTTCTCCGGCCTGAATCTGATTAACTCGATTCTCCTAATGTTTTACCGGGACGGCCGCGTAACACAGTTTTCCTGCGCCTGAATCGGCCCTGCAAATTAGATCAAATGAAATCACGCTGTTTTCCCTGAGTGCGTTTTTGGCCAAAAAAGTGTATTAAGTAACACAGTGACTGGACTGTTTGTTTCAGATATCATTATTCCAATATCAGGAATTCTATACTCTAAGGGGTTTGCACTCATAGATTACAAACACCTTTTACGTGACCTTAGCTCAGACCTCAGCAAATTTGATAATGCCTGCAACTTCAAGTGATTTATGTCAGAGGACCCACACTCTGAAGTTGACCTCTCCCGGTAGATTAATGGCTCTTTCAATGGCCATAAAAGCTAAGGAGTGTGTTGTGTGTGGACATTTTCCAGACATCGAATTTATGAACCTTTGCCCATAAAAGCTAAGGAGTGTGTTGTGTGGACAGGAAGGCGACATCGAATTTATGAACCTTTGCCAGATGTTCACATTTGAAGGACTGCAATCCCTGGAAGGCAAATAATTTGATATATCGCCTATGATAAGGAAATTCATGGAGAGGTAAGGAGATAGTACACAGCCTTAAT